TTGTAGGTCTAGTAAAATTTCCTATTTGCCTCTACATAAATTTGTTTCCTGCAGAATCGAGCTGGAAATAAATAAATGGTAAAAGATAATGCTTAATTAATAAATCTTACACAATAAATTTAACACAGTGAGAATTCATCCTTTGCCTTTTTCTAATCAATAAAAGTTTCGGTGGAAAATAAGTAAGTACAAATTATATTCTATCATTGTGCCAAATAATAATTACTTGCAGACAATTACTTGCATCCCGCTGCTGAATGATAAAACATAGTATAAAGCCAATTTTTATGTAAAAGAACCAGTCAATAAGCATTTTTTGCTATTGTCCAAATGATTTAGGAAAAATTAACTGGATAAAAACAAAAATTACCTGTAGAATTATCACTCCATATAGATAGCATACTGAAGTAATTTCCGCTTGCCTGACTTTGCCTGACGATTAAAATAAACTCATAGTTTTCTTATGATAGTTTACATAAAGTATAACCGCTTCACGTAAAATACATTTTGAATACGATTTTCTTTCACATACTTTAATGCCTGTGTGTGCAACGGCTTACGTTACTTGCAGCGTAAAGCGGCGATAAGAAGGTGAGTGAAAGGATCAATAGGATACGAATCACGAAACTAAAGAAATGTCTTGTTATTTGTATTCCTCTAATTACTATTTAGTATAAAGATAAAATTTCTTTGTGTTTTCTTCAAAAAAAATTAGAGTATGAATCAAAGTATTCCTCCACAAATCAAGGCAGAATAAACTAAGAAAAATTAGGTATTTTCGTAAGTGTAATACTATATTTTTAAATAATATATAATAATATTAATTTTCATTCTATAGTTCCAGAAGGCCTTCTATAAATTGAGCGTTTACATTTTTATACGATATGAAAAGTCATAGTTTCTCATTGAAGCAACGACGAAAAAGATGGGATTAACATGTGTAAAAATGTGGAAGTTGATGAATACTGCGTTATTATTAAGTTAAAGATTGAAGAGATGATCGGAGAATAATAGAATATTTTTTACTTAGAATTTTTTACTTTCAAACTCCAAGTATTAGTCTAAAAAAGAAAAACTGTTTTTGTAAACTTAATTTTTGAGGTTTACTAAATTTGTGCATTCAAATTCCCTAGGATATCTACCTAATAAGTTTAAATTGAAGTATAAGGGCTGTGTAAATTATAGTAACGTTGTAGAGTTATTAGGACTTTTGGGGGGGATCCCCCCCCAAAGATTTATGATGGATGTGATGCAGGAGATGTGAAAAATGAGCAATGCCCTCGCCATGACTCAAACCACGGACCTCTCGAATTCGCGTCGAGCGTGCTGACCATTACACCGCGAAAGCATGCTAAAAAGGCGGGAGAAATACCTAATAACGCAATGATGAAACAACTGTTTGAAACTACTAGCTTATTTTCATTTAAAATATGACAAACATGAGACCGTTAGACTGGCAGATAAGACTAAAAAAATTGAATAGAAATTGTTGTTGATTGTCGTCTATTCAGAATAAGATTAATTTAAAACCAGAAAGTTCGAATTTGGGAAAATACGTTTTGTTACCATTTACATTTCACAATAATCGAGGACGGCTTGTACTGAATCACAATTCTTACTATACTGACTTACTTACTATACTGAATAAAAATTTTAAATGTATCACATTTACAGTTATATTCTCTTGGGGATAAAAGGAAGAAAATAACGTAACTGGCTTTTCTACTTGAAATGAAATCAAGAGATTGTTAAAGGATTCTCAAACGTAAGCATACTTGCTGATGAGTTCTGTTAGATTAGGCGCTATTGTAAGTACAATGAAGAGAATCCCATGACGGAATTTTGATGGAAATGAAGACGAAATTAGAAAAAATTACAAGACATGTTTTTTTTTTTTTTTTTCCCACAAAGGAACAATTCTTAATTGTGAATTTCATTAACGAAGTCTTGTTTCGTTATCCCCATTTCTTGCTGCATTTCTAAAATTCCTTCTATTTCATTTACTTGTTTAATTCTTCAAATTATGTACATAAATTTACAGTACTTTCACTATAATATGACAGCTTTTATGAATACAAAATTACATACATATTTAAAATGTAGCAAACTTAACAGAAAAACTTATAGAAACAGCTTAATGTTTATAAAAATTTCCCGTGTAAAATCTTTTCCTTCTTAGAGTTCTGATGAAATCTGCAAAAAAAGCCTTTGTATGTATATTAAACACTGAGCATCGGACCAAAAAAAACTCATGCTGAAAAATAGAAGTATTCAAAGAGGCGCATAAATTGCCTAAAAACGTGGAAGACACGAAACATTTAATAATCAGAGAAGACAGATTAAACTAATGACATTTCTGGCAAGGAAAATTTAAATCAAACAGGCATTTTTTAAATAATACATAAAGAAAATGTGTACAGATGTTGTATTCTGTGCATATGATGCCAACGATGATAAAGTCTCATGAATTTTGCTGAGCTAGAATATTGACTATTATGATACTTATCGGTCATCACTATTTCCTTACAGAATCATTTAACTTTTTAAACATCAAAAGCTATAAATTTTCAGTCTCATTGTATCCGTAAGCAAAGCGATGAAATAATTTCTGAGAAAATAATGGATAGATTATGTTTTAATTACAATTATAAACTAAACGAGTAGAAAGGAAACATTAATAGCATTAGCTGATACATTCAGGTTTTACTTTTTAAGACATCATGCCGTCGTCTTATAATCGCAAAAATATGATTGAAACTTTAGATAACAAACAGATATTAACTGTTAAATATCAATTAAAACAAAACTAAGATAAATAATTTTATCATATGCAGTAGCTTATCAAATTTTAGATAGCTCTTGAGTTTATTTTTCTTTTTATCTTGCTTGACTTAAAGAAATATAACAGTTTAATTTTTTAAAGAAATAATTTCCGTTTTCAAATTGCACTTCTTCATTTCACTAAATCACGTGAAATTAAAGCACTAATAAAGTAAAACTTGATTCAAATATTTTTCTTTACTAAAATACTCATTGTTTTTAAGCGCTATTGGTATCTTTTTCATTTACTGTTAACCATGTGAAGTAACAAAATTCCTTAGGGAACAATAAAGCATTTTTCATCCCCAAATAAAGCAGCTGTTCCAGAACAGTATTTGAAAAATAAAATTTGCTGTTCTACCTTCAGCTGTTCTGAAATTTAGCCCGCTAAAATTGATCCATATACATTTTTAATGAAACAATACGTTTGAATAAGTTTATGAATATCATAAAATTATCAACAACACCTTCTTAAACGTTCGCTAAAAAACCACACTGCGCAATCAACAGGTGATGGGTTTGAAGAATGTATATAATGCTTCCAGTAATATAGAAATAAATTATTTCAGAAGACATGAAACGAAATGGGAAAGTAATGCTTTGTATGTATATACTGCTGTGTAACTGCAATATTCCCTTATGTTTCATGCATCGACGAATAAATTGAAAAAAAGCGCTTTCTCTTAAATTTGCAATCTGCCTTATATGTATTGTATGTATACATAATTTACAATTTATACATATATATATGCATGTGTCTGTGCGTGCATGTGACATAAAATTATAAATAATTTTTAATATTCCCATAAAAGGTTTAGTTTGAAGCTTTCTTTTCATTCATTACGGATCTCGCCGCTTTCCTGTTTTGTGCTGCTTGCGTTATTCCTTAAGTGATTACGTCCATTGTAGAATTACAAGCAAGCCTCTGGGTCGCAACTTTAATTACTTATTCATACTTTATAGGAATAAAAGTTGAAATAATTTCCTCAGTATTCCATGACCTAGTATTAAAATGAAAGAAGTCAATACTGCTGAAACCCCTTCTAAAAGAAAGTTCAAAAATAGTCACAAATGAGACTAATTTTCGCAATCACTTTTTCCTCTTTCTTCATGAAGCATACTTATTCCGTATTGAATAAGCATACTTATTCCGTATCGAAATCATTTTTACATATGCTTGCTTTTGAACATCTATATTTCATATGTTATTCACTTGTTATTTGCCATAATCACAAAGAAATAGAAATAGCAGTAAACAAAATATAGTCTTCTCACAGTCTCTGAAGAAATTATATAAAATAAAAGTATGCATCATGAACGTCGTCATAAGATATGAGTGTATAGGTTTAATGAAAACAAAGCGTATCAAAACAAGATATGGAATCGTTTCTGTGAGCTGTCCCTGAAATTTGTATATGAATATATACAAGTCCTTGCATGCATAAGAAAGTCTATAATCGTTTTAAGAAGGATATGATTGTTCAGAAACAAAACTGCTACCGTGTAGTGTGCTTTGTATACTATTCATTTTTATGTATTTAAGCTAGTTTCCTTAAATATGTAATGTATCTGAGGTACTACATTCAAGTCACTGTTTTTCTATTAAATTGGCTTTATGTATTTTGGTGTAAAATCTGGAATGGCGCATTTCTAATTTCAATTTTTTTTTTATCTTTGATACACATTTTTCCCCATCAGTGGTATCTTTTTCTGAGGTTAATTTCCTCCTTTTTCGAGTATTTAAAAAATCTGTTTTTTATTGTGATAAAGTGCTATATAGAGATGCATGCATTCAATGTATTCAAAAATATATTTAAGTGAGTTATGGTAAAAGCTAAAACTCTTTACTGTTGAATTAGTGCTCCTATTTGTAAACAGCCTCAGGGAAACATATATGGGCACAATTTTGAAAAATTAAATGAAATATTATTTTTAATTAATTGAGATTTGCTATTTAGTTAGAGATGAGCCAAAACTCTACTGCTGATATCTTCTTTCATAAAATTACTTTTCATAAAATGAATCTTTTCTGCTTGATATATACAGCTCTATTTATATATGAAATGTATAACTATGTTCACAACAATTGCACGTCATAACATCTAACAAAGCAAAAATAGAAAGGTTCCTAGCGATCATTAAAATGCGGAACAACACAGCTTAGTTTCAAGCGTTCTTACCTTAAGGAAATGTGTCCAACTATTCGAAGAACATAAAGAAGACCGAGGTTTGGCTTCGAAGAGCGCACATGAAACAGTGCATCGCGTCCATGCCTTTGCTCCCTTAAAACCGGAGGTTTGGGATGCAGAAAGGAAGGGGATTCCGTCGTTGCTTCCGATTGGTTGCGGATGAATCTTCGCGCAGCCGCTGGATTCTCAAAGGAGAATATAGGGTTCACAAAGGTTACCTGTTTGAAATGAAAATTTACCTAAATCCTTGATCAAGCAGACTTAAGAGATGATGAAAATTTATCGATCAGAAGCTGAATACTTGCTTATGCGTGAAATGAACAAATGTTCCAAGTTAGCTCTTCCAAGTATAAACAATATAATCAAGTGTTATGTTACAAATTTTGATGTCACATTAAAATTACATTTCTAAAATAAGACTTTCAATACGCCGTTTAAGGCTTGGGAGAGCTTCTAATGAAATAATACTGACCTGTTGACGGGAAACTCAATTAAACCCACAGATTTGGTCTCATATTTCTTGCGTAAAACATAAAAGCGCAGATCCTGTTGGTTAATCTATAATACAAGCTTTAATGACAAATATGTTAACATTAGAGTATAGGCCTTATAAACGTCTATAGGTTAGGCTTTCAGATACTTTCGATCGTTACATTTTGCCCCAGATTTTGCCAAAAATTGTTAATTACACTACCAAAGCGTTGATCATCCACACTGCTTGAAAAATGTTTCCTATCCAGAAAACTTAAAAATTAAGATATTTAATTATATTTTTCTGGCCGCTATTAAATGCCTAGTCCTGAGAAGGCTGTGTCCCTTTCTAAGGCCCATAGGGCATTTAACTTTCAAATTATAATAAACAGCTACTTCATTACTTACTTACTTTTAGAGACTATTAGCCTTTTTAGAAGAAAGAATTGCGAAAACCCAATTGTGCCTTCGCTGAAATTTAAACCATGGATCTTCCAGTTGCTTGCTAGACGTAATAACCACTTACACTACAAAAGCATGCATAAACGAATGCGATAATTCATTACAAACAACTCAGCGACTTAAGAGCGATACAGTATCGTCATAATTTATAACTCCATTTTAATAGTACATCTAATTAATGCAATTTATAATACATTTAATTGATATAATTAATATATCCGGCTGATAATTTTCATAAATATTTGCTTCATTTTTGTATTCAATAAAAGTTGATTCTAAAACTATCCGTTACATATCACGATGCAAAATAATCAACTGCTCACCGTTTAATAATGAGTACCCTCTTAAAGTGGCCATAATTCCGTAATTAATGGATAGCGATTATTATGGACCTGAAGCTGAAATTTTCCCCAGCTTTGCAACAAAAGAGTGTGGCAGTGAAAGCTTCCGTAAACTGGAATGACGTAAAGAGAAGAAGCAATTAATATTAATTTTTATGGAACACGTTTTTGAGTGTTTCCAATCTTTTATCAGTTTATGCCATATAATACATAAAACGTAAAATGATACTTGCAGCAAGCAGGAAGTAATAATTAAACCCAGTAAGCAGAAACTACATTGGATAGTTTTACCTTCAGAATTTGAAAAGACAGCTAAAACAGTAATAAACTTAGATGTGGTCGCAATAATGAAGGTGCAGTATATTGTCACTTCCCCTTAAGTCCTTTACAGATTATATTGTTAAAGTTGAGTCGTCATAGATTTAATAGCATGAGATGAAGAGGTTTATGATGTAGGAAAAAAGGTGATATCCATTTAAATTTGTCACAGCATTGCGTCTACAAGTTTATTTACTGTGTCTGCCCTAATATTAAAAGCCGAAGTTTTTCATCTGCTTTGGCTAATGTGAAAGGCTTCAAATACAGCAATATGATCGCCTGCTTGGATTTACTCATCCTATTGTCTCGTTCTTTCTGACAATCGAAATCCTACGAAACTGGCTAAAATTGAATGCTTGCTTGCGTATAAATTCATACTTTCCTTCAAAAAAGCAAAACTGAATGATATTTTCGCTTTCCGTCACTTTTAGTAAAAGCGAAAGTCATCTTCGAATTTCTTCTGCAAACCGGAAAAGGTACTATTATAGGTCTTTGGTAAAGAAAGGATTAGAGTAAAGCGAACATTTAGTAAAGCCGGGAATTGCTTCATGTATTTATACTATTATTTTTATTCTCAAAGTTATTACTCAAATTAAATGTCTTTTAGATATAACATAAACGCCATTCGATGTTATCACGTTCATTCACGACTATTTTAATAACATTATAAGGTATTTCTCTCACTTCCCTAGCGTGCCTTCGTGGTGTAACGGTAGCGCGCTGGGCCGGTATTCCAGAGGTCCGTGGTTCGATTCCCGGCGAAGGCGGTTGCATATTTTTCATCTTTTCTGCTTCCAATTAACCTAATGACTCTACAACATTAATTGAAAAATAAAATTAAACGACTGTAAAAAGTACCTTATAAGGTATTTCGCCCGCTTATTAGCATGCCTTCGTAGTGTAGTAGTCAGCACGCTCAGCGCGTATTCGAGAGGTCCGCGGTTCGAGTCCCGGCGAGGGAATTGCTCATTTTTCCTCTTTCCTGCTTCGAAATAATCTAATGTGTCTACAATCTATAAAAAATGAGAATGCAGTTTTATTAGAAATGTATTAGAAAACTATAACTATATGACTCTATAGAACTTTTGTTAGAAATAAACGCATTTAAAAACCATTAGTAGTTCACTACCTGAAGATAATTCATTTAAATTCATAATTTTCATTTATAAAGTGTACGCATAATGTTCCTGGAAATTATCCGACTTTTATCGTATACTTCACTATAATATGAGCAGTGCCTTTTTCATCATAGAATTGTTCGCCCATGTCATCACCTTCTTCCTCAGAACGTTTATTGTATATTATGCTAGAGTCTTTTAGAGATGATGAATAGCAGACGTCTTTCTCTGTTATTAGTATCGCAATTTTAACTTTTCATCAGTATACACACAAGTCTCAAAATTCCTCACATTTAACTTTAACGAGAGATGGTGCATTTCCTTTTTCAGCAACGTCGCCGTTTATTAAAAGACTGGTATATTTAAAACATTTCTTCACTGTCTTTTCCGAGACGCGGTTTCAGGATATTTTCAGTAAATGCAAGGCATCTAGAATCGTTTTTCTTGCCTTATTAATTTTCATTTATATCCATATATTTCGTGATATGAAGAATTTAAACCTCATGTCACCGCTCTAATGTCTTTCATCTCTCTAATAATATCTTGACTATACAGTTTAATTTTTTCTTTTCCTAGCGTTTATGGCAAGAAATTGAATGCAACTTCTTCATGCTTTGTAAAGACGTTATAAGGTATTTCTCCCACCTTCCTGATGTGCCTTCGTGGTGTAGTACTTCTGCACGCTGAGCCGGTATTGCAGAGGTCCGTGGTTCGATTCCCGGCTCATTTTTTATCTCTCTTGCCTCCCAAAAAATCCTAATGTCTCTACAATGTGTATATTATGATCTATGCAGCCATCAATTTAAAGAAAACCATCAAACTTCAGTTCATTATACCATTTCAAAATGTATTAATTAAAAACTATGCATTAGAAGACCATATACCTCATCTAGATACTTCAACTTGGGTAAAAACTTCGTGCTGGTATACTTTCATCAAAATTAAACAATTTATTAATTTTAATAAATGATGTCATAATACACAACAGTCTGAAATTTCGACAATTAGATAACAAATACCTAAATAATAGCATTAACTGTGATTCCATTAAACTTTAACTATTGTAGTTAAGTGAACTTACAGTTAATATAGTTTTGTTTATCTTTTTCACGAAGAAAGAAGTATCTCAAATGCCAATGCATATTAACAGAATTACCAAAATCCTCACAAAACTAAGTTATTGGATGCACAAATCTTATTACTTTCAGGGCTATCCCGCTTTGACATTACTTGGTTTTCAAATTTGTCTCTTACATCAAGTAAAATTAATTGCTCTCTTCAAATACAGTATAACAGCTTAATAAACCAAATGTTACATTATTTGCATTCCTATGAACCAAACCGATACATTTCTACGTGCTTTCAGCGTTTTGTATTGTTGCTAAAGACTTCTTCAGTTTTATTATTGAAATGACAGCTGGAAACATAGTCATCAAGCAAATTTCTAAAACTTATACACTGTATGTAACTTTTACACTGTATGTTTTAATGTAATGATTTGCAGTACTTCTTATACTACAATACTCAACGCCTGATTTTTAATATGCATAAATATATCTCATTCATATCTTAAAATACTGAAGCTTTCAAAGTAGGGAATGAAATATTTTCAAGAAAATCAAAAACGTTCGTAGACGATATGAACCATTACGCGTTAATAATTATTAATGGATCAAAAATATTTACTGAATATGCAATAATGAAATTTTTATTTAATTCAATATCTAAAATTTTAAATTGTAATCTGAAAAATATTTTCCTTTTTTTTTAGATATATAAGTTTTTTTTGCAGTAGTAGTAAAATGAAAAATCAGCTAGTGGGCTCAAGCCACTAATGTCCCATTGCTAGCTGGACGAGCTACCACTTACACCGCGATAGCACGCCTGGGAGAATGCGATTATTTTGTATACATTTTAAAACTGGCAGCATTCTTAAGGCAGACACAAATTTGTGCAAAGTTTTATGTTAAAAAAGAGCGTTTCAATTCCAAACCTAAAACTTTTGGTGCAGCAAAAGTGGAACTTTGCCTATAATTTTATATCCGGAACAAGAAAATAATAGTTAAAGTAATCGTTTATTAATAGATATCAGGCTGCTCTCCATATTTACAAGGCTCTTATAAGAAAATCTGAAAGATCAGCTGAATAGCATCCATCAAAGACAATTTACACTGTAAAAGTGCAAGCGATTTGGCTAGGGCTTAATTATTTCGAATTTATTTTCGAATATGACTAGAATATTTGTTCTTTCAAACAAAAATATAAAACAGACGAACCGAATACAATAACAAGTCTGGTGTACTGTTCTCATACATCTGGTCCTTTTTATTCATGAAGTATTCTTAACATACCTTTTGGCATATACATTTTCAATTAGCTTCTGTATTTTCTAAGATTAAGCGTGTTATCTCATAAAAAAAGTTAGAAGTTTTATCATTAGAATGAAACACTCTCAACATATTCATTTTTGCTTTTAAAGTAATGTAGTACTTCTGTAATATC